TTCTCCTCTGGGGGATTGGGGTTAGGGTTACTCTTGTCCCTGAGCCTGCTGATCCAACCCCCCGGCCGTCGCATACTGTTATTATCAGTAACTGCCACTGGGCCAAAGGTCAAAGGGAGGGAGCAAAGCGAGGGTGGGAACGGAGCAGGAAGGCTGAGAGGAAGAAGGCGATGGAGCCGGTTTATCGTGAGGACGGGACGGAGTCTTCGGGGAGAAAACTGTATGTTCCATTGTTAAACATGAGGCTCGCAAGGTTTCGGAAGAGCGGGACTGATTGTTGGTGTAAGTACCGCATCATCGCATCGCTGTGCCACCGGGCTAACAGTTTGATAACGTTGGAATCGCATTTCCCTTGGAGGAGCGCCATGGCCCCTCCCGCTCTCAGCGAGCGGGCGCTGAGGGAGCGGGGGTGTATTCCTGTAGCTCGTTGGAGTCGTGCGGCGTGCCAGCGCATGGTGGAGGTGACCATGGAGGCAGTAATGCGGACATTCGTTTGTTGTGTATAGTAGCTTGCAAGTTTAATGGAGCCATCGTATGGCAGATTAAGCTCACGGTGCTGGAGGAATTGTCTTATGACGGCGGTCACGGGACAACAAAGGGGGTCATTGCTTCGGGAATGGGCAATGACGTCCCCTTTTATTCCATTCTTTTGTGTGGTGAAAGTGAGGTGTATGGAGGTGGCGGCATTGATCTCTGCCGTCGATGAGGTCGGGGAGTGCAGTCTTCGGGAGCCGATAAAGAAGGCTACATCATCGAGGGAGAAGGCTTGATCATCAGTGGTGGTGCCAGTGTATTCACCTGGCCGAAGGCAGAAGAAGAATGCAATGCATATCATATTAGCAACCGCTTTCCGCTCTGCTGTGGGGTGTTGATGATACGCGAACTTGAGGGCGTGTGCTACGATTGTTACGGGGACAGGTTTTACACGCGAAGGGGGGTTATCTTGGTGTTGGTACGACCGGAGTTGTGCTGCGATTCGGTAGTCTATTGCACCAAATCTGTTGAGCCTTGGGTCCGGGGCCCCCATGCGGGTGAGTTTCTGGCCCACTGAACGCAAGGCGTCCGATACTGTATGAGCTCTAGCTCGTTTACCGCTGGGGGAGAGCCGTCCATCTTTGTATCTGGCTCCAAAGACCTGGAGGTAAGGCACTGGGTCTTGCGAAGTGGTGAGGAAGGGGTCCAGACCTTGTGACAGACAGAAGCTAAGCCAGCAAGCCCAATGGACATCCTTTTTCCGGGCATATCCTTCAGTAACGCTGGATCGCATCTCCGCTTGGACATGGCGGAGATCAGCGTGGAATACAGCTGCGGTCTTAGGCTGCATGCGATCCAAGGCACAGCCTGCGGGTATTTACGGTTAAAATGGGAGAGCAATTGTGAGTCAGTGAGGTCCCAAGCCCTGGATAGAGTGTCGGCCATCTCATTAGCGGGGCCTGGTATGTAGTCGTGGAGAGGCACATATCTGTGTTGCCGCTGATGAAGGGATTGGATACGGAGCAAATAAGCTACGGGACCTGTCGTGGTGGAGGCTCCTTTCCGTTGCCAATGTACGGTTGCTGTGTTATCATACAGGTTATGCACAGTGCGCTCAGTAATATCGGCCGTTTGGGCGAGTACATCCAAGTGAGCTACGGAGCCCGCTAGTTCCAGCTCACTATTTGTGATGCTGCCATGTGGGTTGGCAAATGAGACCAGATCCCTCCTAATCCATTGGGGAAACTGCTTTCTCCAATATATTGGCTGTATTACTCCGTTGGCTAAGGGGATGAAGTGGACTCCGCCCATTCCGCTCCCAGCCGCGTCACAAGCCCCAATCGTATCGGGGTATACCGACGGGACGAGCTCAGCGATCCGGGTGGGCCGGATTGCTATGTCGTTAGCTAACCAGCGAAAGTCTGCGAGGAAGCTATGCAAAGCTCCGGTAAGCCGGATTCGGTTTCTCCCCTCCTCCTTGTGGCGTAGGGCCTCTTGAAGGAGGGAGAAGAGGCCCAGGGATCCAGGCAAGGCCACTGCCATGGATCGTAGTTCACCCAGCAGCTTGTGCCAATCGGGGATTTTTGCATATTTCTGGCCTGGCTGTACTGTCTGTAAAATAGCCTGCAGTCTCTCCACTCGGTGTTGCGGCAGGCTGATGGTTTTCTGTTTGGTGTTGAGAAGCCAGCCCAGGATGATTTTCGATGTAGCCCACGTGGCATCGCCTTTCTTTAGCTTCCTCAGTGAAGCTGGCTCCTGTCTGTACGGGGTATCAGCCGCATCCAGGGGGCGAAAGACTTTATCCAATGAGTGGAGGAGGGCCCGCTTCACTGCACGGCGGGTCCACGTGTTGCCTTGTACGAGGCCACAGAAATCATCAACATAAACGTCCCAGTATCGTACGGGTTTGGGCTCCTGCGTGAAGGGCCCTGGCTCCCGTAACCGCTGCTCGATTGCACCCGGTTGCTCCGCTGTGGGTTCTACTGGGGTCTCCGCAATCTCATCCAACCGGTGGGGCAAGCTGCGCATACGCTGGAGGCCTCCGGGTTCCTGGAGGACTGAGTTAGCCAGATCGGCTATTGTTTCGGTGCAAGCGCTAAAGTTGGGGGGTGAAGAGCACCAACCCATGGGATTGGTTAGCGGTATACCTATCAGAGGCTCCTCCCCCGGTCTTGCTGGGAATAGGACTGCTAGGCTCAGGGTGTCCTCCGGCTTTACCCAGAGCCGGTAGAACCCATCTGACAAGTCTATCTTGGACATGTATACGGGCCCGTATCGATCGTTGGCCCGGTGTATGCGATACAGGAGGCGCTTCAGTGTTCTGCCAAATTGCATAGCCTCAGCAGGCGCCATGGGAAGGGTCTCGGCATTCACACCAAAGTAGCTGTAATCCGAGATCATTCTGTCTCGCCTTCCACGCTGTGGCACCAGCCCTAACGGGCTTAAGCGGAGCCCGGGGATATCCCTTATAAGGCTTGCTGGTAGGACGGTCCATTGCTGTTTATCCATCATATCAGCATACTCCTCGCGGAGGAAGGCGATTCCGTTGTGGGAGGACTTATGGGGTCCCCGGGCCAGTGCCGCAGCAATCCTTCCTGGAGCCCAAGGGGGAGTCGCCATGACGGCTGGAGTTCCCTCCCGTTGAAAGGTCTGCAGGAGCTTGGCAGCGGGGTGTGGGAGGCTCCCCACTTGGGGATGAAGATCTCCTCGGCCCCGTACTTTCCGTACAAAATCTCCCCAGTTTGCGGCTCCCCGGAAGATCCTCGTGGCTCGGGCCACGTGCTCGTCTAGTCGGTCTAGCGGGTAGCGGTTCCCACTGTGTGGGGTGGGGGGTTCCGCTTCGTTTGCGGAGCCCCCAGATGGTGTAAGTCTGCTGGCAGCAGAGCCGACGCTAGGCAGGTCCCTCCGCTGCCAGATCTCTGATGTGGTCCCAGGGACCTCCGGTGAGTCTCGGCTCTCGTTGTTGTGTTGATTGGGCCTCCTGGTCCCCGGCGAGTCTCGGCTCTCATTGCAGGGGGGATCCCGGGGGACTGGAACGGGCTCCAGTTCTTGTTGCGTTGGCTGCTTACACTGGTCACTAAACGCTCGCGTACGATCCTTACCTAGTTCTACGGGGAGTGTAAAACTCTCCCCTTTTTCMGGCTTGGTTGGCGTTCTTTGCCACTGTACTGCTGTATCTGACACCAACCTTCTTACTTTGGGAGGGGGCAGCGGCACAGCAGCTGCAGTTGGGGTTGCAGTCTGCCTGCCTCCCCTTCATTGGGTTCCGTAGGCCTCCTGGCACCAATCCCAGAACCTGTTGTTTTCTTCTTCACTGGTCTCTTTGTGGTCAAAACTAAGCTTACAGCTATCGTAGCAGTATCCTTTTGCTCGCCAAGAGTGACACATCTCCTTCCCGTCGTTACGGAGGCATGGTCCTTTCCCCTTAGCCTTCATTGCACTCATAGCTTTGGCAATCTTCCAGCCTTTAAGTCGCTCCCCCAGCTCACCGTCCGCCGATGAGATACGGGGGTCTTGGTGGGTGTTTTCCACCCGCACCTGTAGGGAGCCAGTACTGGGTGTACTGGCTGCTCCCTTGGTCTTGGTTCCCGCTTTGGCACCACTAACTCTCGTATTCACCGCAACGGCTGTGGGAGCCTGTAAAGCTCGTAAGGCTGGGACATCCGAGACAGCTGGGAGCCAGGTGACATTCTTGGAGAGACGGAATAACCGAAACTCATTGGTGAAGCTGGGGACTTCCACTGGAGCCACACTGTCCCACTGGTCTTCCAGCCAGCAACGGACTCGTAACTGGAAATAGTAGACCAGTATGGCGGGGGCTAACTTAGTCCCACACTCCTCCACCAGTGCATGGCGTAGTGCTAACTGCATCCGTTTCAGTCGGTCTAACCCTTGGAGGTAGTTCCTAACGAGCGCGTGGTCGGCTCCCACTAAGGTCGCGAGCACCGGAAGATAGCCTTCGATTTGCAGCAAGGCTTCAATCCAGTCCGTGGGGATGTATCCTTTGGCTTTGCCGAGCACAAGGGCGTCCGCAAAGTTAATGGAGTTCCCTTCGGTGGACATTAGTGTATCGTAGGCTAGTGCGGCCTTTGCATCCGCCATCTGCTGTTTTCGAGCGGTAGGGGACCCCCCCGGGGGTGCGAATGCCATAGGGAGTATCCCATCTCCGAGCTCACATTCATCCACTCCATGGAAACGGAACGCTTGGAAGGATTTTAGTGTAGCGGTGGGGATGAAAGGAGGCTGGAGCCCTAGTTCTCGTGCCGCTTGGTCTACGTGACTTTGAAAGAGTGCATGGACCTTTTCCCCCTTCCTCTTATTCACCCACGCTTGGTAAATGGGGGGGAGTTCAGTATCCTCCGGGTCCCCTCCGCACAGGAGTTTGATCCGTCGTGCATTCAGGCTCCCAAATACATCCTCCGTAGATGCGGGCTTCGATTCCTCTGCATGACGCCGAGCATTGGCCTCGTTAGCTCGCAGGTGATGGTCCGTCAGTGTTGAGACGGCCGCAGTTAGTGCGGAGGTCTCCGGGGTCATGATGTGGGAAGGAACTGGGACCAATCCGGGGAGGTCCCTATGAAGTACTTTCTTTTCCATGTACAGTGTGAGCTTTGCCTCCACGCGGAACAAAGGTCCGGGTTCATTAGCTGCGATCCCACATACAGGAGCTGCCGTTGCAGTCTCCGGTGTGATCTGTGTACCAGCTACACGTAGGGCGTCCACTACAGGCTGTGCACAGTCTAGCAGTCCCTGTTCAAAGAGCCAGGGTTGAATAATGAGGAAAGCTTCCCGTGGTGAGAGGTTCTTCCCTAGGACGAGTGGGACCAGCTCAAAGGGGATGAAGAACGTGTGGCGGCATATGACCTCCTCGCTATGGGGATCCTCGGCCGTTAGGGGGCCCAAGAACTGGAGGTTGGGACCAGCTTCAAAGGCTAGCTGGTGATGTGGCGTAGTGTAGACTCGAAGGGGATTGGACAGGGCAAACATGTTCGTTGTAACTCGTACCAGTTCTCCTGCACCGGAATCCACATCATCTAAATACCCAAAGACCTTGTTGGTGTTCTGGGAGTTAAACATCAGGCTCCCCGGGTATCTGCGAATCCCATGGATAACCCGGAGGCGGGGGACGGCGGAAGGATCGTTCACGAAGATCCCTACTCCACCTACGGCCTGTTCCTCAAAGAGATTAAGTACTTGATCAAGTACATCGCCGGCCGTAGGCGGGCCCGCGTCGCTGCGAAATACATGGTATATCTTAGCATAGGCTATACGTCTCTGATCAGGGTCCCTCCCAAAGGGATTAGCGGCAGGATCCTGAAATAAGTCAGTATAGCGGACGGGTCGGGGATCCGCTGTGCTGTTCATCCCGTTGGTGGACATGATTACAGAGTGGGACTGGGGCGTGCATAAAGGCTGGCCCCAGTCCTTCTTCCGACCGCTTCGCTCTTAGTATTACTATCTACTTCTGCTACTGCTACTGCTTTGGTTGCTATCAGTAGTAGTGGCAACAGTTGCTCAGTTGGGAGCA